TAGAAATTAACTGAATGTCTTTATCACAGATTTATTTTTTGACTCTAGAATATCTAAAATGTTATGGTAGATATCTCATTTAACTTGAGGCTCTTTGAAAAATTACCTATGGATTTCATTCTTCGACTTGATTTTTCTACGTGTTCCCGGTATTTCTGGATCAGACTTTTCTTAAAAAACTAATTTTGCCTAATTTCAGCTGTGGAATTGAAAGAGCAACAGAAAAGCATCTGTATTTTTTTGCTTGAGTGTGCTCTTTTCTCAGTATTTTATGTCTACAACCTACCAGCTATAGATTTGGTGACATCAAAGGAGTTGCTGGAGAGGTGACAAATGCTTAATGTAGTTGTTGCCCTCCTGTTAGCAATGTAGAGTACGCCTCCTATGCAGAAGGTCACAGGTAGTGACTGTGATGCTAATGAATGTGTTTTCACCATTGCATTATAGTGGTTCTGATATCAACGTGAGTTTATTCCATCAACGCTTCAGTTGATGAATATTTTACCTGACAACTGCTTACCAGATGTTTTTATATCACTTTGATAGTTCAGGTGAAAAAGCCTTACCTTGAGCATCTAATTACTATCTAATTGGATACACTGCAGTGCTTGACTGAAAATTCTAGAATATTTTATTTGGTGTTAGTTGGAAACAAAGGACACATCTCAAAGTGGATTTTCCTGTATCTATCTGATCTAAACAATTGCTTTTCATGGTTTAATTTTTTCCTAAATCATAATTACAGTTGTAAAATGACTAGTAATTCCCATAAGCACAGAATTACTGAATTGAGACAGAGCATGGATTGGATCATGCAGTCCTAGGGCACTGCGGTCGTTTACTGCGCTGTAATATAGAGACAACACTGTGAAGGGAAGCAGAAGAAAAATGGAAACTGTACTGCTGTGTTTCTCCGAAAGATGGGAAATCAATAACATTTTTGATGAAAGATAGTAGCTGCAATTCATATTTGTAAATGTAGTACGTCAAAAATCTATGTAGCTTCAGCAGAAAATGTTCATTGGCTACTTAAGGAGAAAATTGTATTTCATTCACCCGTAAAATACACTAGGTGTCTTCAGCTGCACAGCACACAAGCTAGCACATAAGGAACAGCCAACGTGGGAATGAGAAACGCTGTGCATTGCCAACATCAAATGTTTATGCAATTTGACAATGCAGATTTTTCTGATAAATCAGTTTGTTTGATGAATATTTCAGTAAATTACACAATTCAGTATATCTGGCTGTAGGTCAACGTGCCTTAGCACTAGAAGCTGGAAGTATTACCTAGTGTAACTTGACAAGATTTCACTGCTGCTATTGCCACTTGATCTAATACTAGATCAGATTGCCTGGGGTCTCATCCAGCTGGCCTTAAAAACCTCCATGGACAAGGCATCCGCAACCTCTCTGGGCAACCTATTCCAGCGCCGAACCACTTTCTCAGTAAAGAACTTCCCCCTGACATCTGATCTAAATCTCTCTTTAGAGAAAAATCAGCTTAATACAGAATTTGAAGGCATAAGAGAATCCAAGCACCGCCTGTTCGTAGATCTTAATTGCCTACGTTATCTCCCTACCATTCTTCTTTTCTTCTAGACATCTTTTTCTTTATGCTGCTATTATGCTGTTGTTAAGTTAATGTGGGAATTTAAAGGGACTCTGTGGAGAATGTCAAAAGTGGTGGGGAATACATAAATAGTTTATTTTCTCACTTAAAATAGGAACAGCATATTAGCAGTTATGAACACAAAAGAAAACCTACGTTTTTGGAGCTACAGTGTTTCTCCCAGTCAGTAGTCAGTGAAAAAATATTCCATATACACAAAGGAAGGAGTGTCTGTGCCTAAAGGAAAGCTCTAAAATAATTGTTATTTACAACAAAAGGGCTGATATTTACTAATTTTTCTGGGATGTTGTTATGTTCTGGCTCAAATATTTGAAAATAAGGTAAGTATTGCTGTCTTTGTTGCTGGGAAAGGGTAGATTATTTGCAGCAAACAGTGCACTTACAATAGCCATAACAATTCCAACCTCAGAGATATTTGGAATTGAAGAACTTACTATTCCTCTTTGATCTGACTTAAAAGAGAAATTTCTGTCTTTTGTGTTATTTGGGTCTTATATCAGAATTTAGAATATCACCTAAAGAAAGAAAATATAAAAATCCTACCAATTAATCTTATTGTCATGAAGCAGTTGTTTCTGCTAACAAAGAAGATAATGTGTTCTTTTGCCATATAATATATTCTGTCCTTTATAACCTTCATAGCAAATACAAAAATCAGAAACTGTATGGCATCCTCACATCCCATCAGTAGTTATATTTGTGAGAAAGGAAGAAAAAGGATAACATCTGGGAATTCTGATAAAATGGCATGGGTAGTGGTCAGTGATATTTTATTCCATGTGGTTGTCACTGGATCACCAAAAGCAGTGTCTAATCTTGATTAGAAAAACCAAACAGCAACAAGGAGAAAAAAGTGTTTTCTGAGATGAAAATGTTTTTAAAAGTCTTAGAGGCTGAAAAAGTTCTTTGAGTTGCCACAAACATTTCTCTAGTGTCCCCAGGTCTACTAAGATAGCGAAGTATCAAAACTAGAAACTTCCACAATAACTGACTTTGCATGTGAGTGGGTCTAATAACATTGGATCTGATTTTATGATGGTATATTGCCTTGGAACTCGCATGTAATGGTACAAAATTTAACTTTACAGCTAATCTAACAATTTATCTATGATTAAGTTAGTGCTTAATGGATAGAAATAAGTACTGCTACTAAGAAAATCTGCATATGCAAATGACTCATTTCCCAGTACCTCTTGCATCTGTAGGTCCCTGGCAGAAATAAAGTTTATTTTCTGATATATTCATGGTTTAGAATCATCAGAAAGCCTTGAGATATAAACTTAGTGTTATTTGTTATCTTCTACTTTCCAACTGGATATCTGTAGATTCAAAATAGATACATAAACTGATACTAACAATGGCAACCACACGGGCTGTCTTAAGTACAGCTTTGCTGCTGTGTGTTGTTTCCCCCTGCATTAGCATTTTAAACCTTGAAAGGAGATGGCATTTTTATGTTATCTGCTACTAGGTTTAAATGCATTATTTTACATGACTGAACAGAAAAAACTGCCACTGCATTTTACAAATCAGAGAGATTTTTAGTGAGGACAAATAAGGCTTCTGTGGAACTCTTGGAATGTGTCCAGAGGAGGGCCACTAAGATGATCAGAGGGCTGGAGCACCTCTCCTACAAGGAAAGGTTGAGGGAACTGGGCTTGTTTAGCTTGGAGAAGAGAAGGCTGCAGGGAGACCTTATTGTGGCCTTCCAGTATTTGAAAGGAGCATATAAATAAACAGGAGGGGGAATGGCTGTTGACAAGGGTGGATAGTGATAGGACAAGGGGGAATGGTTGTAAAATAAGACAGGGGAGGTTTAGGTTGGATATTAGGAGGATGTTTTTCATACAGAGGGTGGTGAGGCACTGGCACAGGTTGCCCAAGGAGGCTGTGGATGCCCCATCCCTGCAGGTATTCAAGGCCAGGCTGGATGTGGCTCTGGGCAGCCTGGGCTGCTGGTTGGTGACCCTGCACACAGCAGGGGGTTGGAACTGGATGAGCACTGTGGTCCTTTTCAACCCAGGCCATTCTGTGATTCTTAAGAAACCCCACATGGTGCAAATAGATTATATTGGATCACTCCTAATGCCTTGCCTACGATTATCTTTGCTGGCACTCTTTCTGGTGATTCATTTTTCCATGCTTGTTTAGCCTAAAGCTTCCCATGGGTGGAGAATTCTGGCTGTACTCATTTATAGATGGGTGGCTATCATACTATCATGGTTATCGTTTAAGAATTAATTGCTTGTGACATACACAAATTAAATAAATAGGTCTGCATAGTTCTTCAATGTTGAACTTACTTTAATTCATAGAATGAAAAATGTAGGATGGCTTCTTTTCTTAGAAACCATGCAGGATGGATGCATTGTTTTCCTTTAATTAAATAGATCACAATTTATCCATATTGGGCTGCTTATACAGGCAGTGGCCTGAACACTTACACGAGGTAGACAGTGAATCTATAGCTAGTCCTCAGATTCATTTCATTCAAGCTGGTTTGAAAGCAGTGTGCTAGCATCTATGCTAAGCTATCGTAATGCAGCACAAACTGCCACTAGTCTTTCCTTTTCCACTACAAAAATTCTACAGAATGTTCCTGTTTTTACCTTAGAGAGAAGTGAAAAGCATACTGTGGATAAAGACTTGCCACAGTAACAAAGTGGAAGGATGGACTCTCATATTCAAGTAATTTTATTAACTTCTGTTGAGCTACTGAAGGCAGTGCAGGTACTCAGGAAAGCGCTGCGCTACATCCTGCAACACCTTAACTGGTATTCTACCAGTCCTGGCTCAATTACTGCTCCAACTAAACAAAACAGGATACTGGCAATGTTATCAATTTACTGATACTTCCACACTACTCTGCTCAATGACATAAGACAGATTAAGATATGGGGGGAAAAAAAGCCCACTATTTACAAGTCTTTCTTGTATAACTGGAGCTGCCAGTCAGTGGGCTCTGTGTTCAGGTAGATCAGCTGAGCAGTCCTTGTGGTGGAAAAAGACCTGAATCTCAAGTTTTCAGCTCTTCTTATGAATACAGTGCTAGGCTGTACATCCCTTCTGCTGTTGTATTTGTCAGCGGGGAAAAGAAGTGCACTCTTACATAATGATTTTTGTCTGATTGTTTTTCTTGCAGTTAAACAGCTTTATCTCACCCTTGCAGGTTTTGACAGGCAGTTGGGAAGCAACTTGCTCTTTAAGCAAATTTCTTTTGTAATTAACCTAATTACTACAATGCTCTACAATTATTCTTCTTATAAGATTTGTTAGTCTATTATATTAGAGAGTAGCTTTTCTTTAAGGAAACTAATCAAAATATCATGAAATACTGCAGTAATGCTGAACATGCCCATTTTCTTAGACCACAGTTTCTTGGGATGGAGATAAGCTACTTTGTGTACAGAAAGGAGAAAAAGAAGATCGTGGTTGGACTCAGTGGATTGAAGGAGATGAAATGCACCTGGTAAGATCATACAATGGGTACTAAGTGCCATCCTTTCATTTACTGAAACAAGATGTAGTGCTGTGTTATCTTGGCATTCTTTGACATATTTAAGTGTTGGTGCTGTATTTGACTTGCTTCTAAAGTAGTAATTTAATTTGGTACCATTATTCTCTCAAGTCCCTTACAAAAATTGCCTCGTTTCAAAGCAGTACTCTTTCTGATAACTGTCTGTTCAGACATACCGGTTTGAAATGTTTACACTGAGGAAACCATTTAGCAGAATGGTCCTTGTACACTCTGTGAAATACACAATATTGGAGCTTGTAAAATTACACACCTAACGATAAGCCATAAGGGGAAAATATACCATTCTTCTTTTAAAATAGTTACAGCCCAAACTGCACTATAGCCCAGAGAACTGAAACAGCAATTAGGCTTCTGAAATGCCATGTTCTCTCTGATCACCATTTCCATCTTTCCAAGTTAACAGGATCTGAAAGAAGATGCCCGTTCTTTCTTTACATAGCTCTTCATGGCATACTCACTCTCTCATTACTTTGGATAAAATGCACTCTTCCTGCTGAGAAAATAAATCTAACTTTTGATTCATTCTTGTGGTCGGTAGTTTTAGCATTCAACACTCCAAATTAATATTTTCTAAATATCCAAATCAGGAACTGTTATAGATGAAATCTTTGCAGAAGTACCCTAAGCCTCTTATTACCAAGTAAGAAATAGTGGAAGTCCCAGAAACAAGTTTGGAGAAGGAATGTATGTAATAAACCTTACCATCTGGACTACACACTTGATGTAATGCAGGTAGGGATGGAAGTGAATTTATAGTTGCAGTCATGGCCTCAACAGAAGTAGAGGTGAAGCAATGAAAATGAGACTGCAGAATTTCCTGTGTATATATGTCACAGTTTCAAGTGCAAGAGGAGAAGGGAGCCCCTTCCGCCTCCTTTCGAGGAAAAGAAAAGAAAAATGGTCCAAGATAGGAGAGATTACAGATTTACTACAGATGGTGAAAGAATGTAAGATAATAACAAGACAGATTCAATTAATAACTCAAATGGGAGAGAGGAAGGCTGCCATCACTGCTGGAACTTGGAAGAGCCTCTTCCCTGTCACCTGGAATTGGACGTCACCTGGGGAACTGTGGAGGTTCCTGGGAATAACAGTTTTCTTGGAGAGTTGGAACTCATGTAAAGTGCTAAAGAGCATAAAGGAAGTACAGCTCCAGAGTGCACTGTGCCTCTGCACCCAGTATCCTGCTGCAAGATGTCATATGGAATACTGATTAAACCAGAACAAAACATCCCCTCAATCTGCATGTGGACACTACAGAAGTTCCACACTATCTCCCAGATAAAAAGCACTTGGTACTGTGACCCCAACCAGCAGCCTTTTCAGAATCTCTGTTTGCAGGCAGGTTGCAATTAGCCATGCTGTGTCTGGCCCTGAAGCTCAGCTTTTTCCTTGCTGCATTTAACCCACATGAAGCAATGGCACTAGCTGCTCTCGGATTTCTTTGGCCTCCATTTTGTCAGGTTCAGGTTCTTATCTCCCTGCAATCATTCTTTCTTCCCATTTACTACTCCCAATGCCTTTTTTTTTAAAGTCTAAACTTCTGCTGTCCTTACTCTGACTTATACGCTAGCCATACAACCCGGCCACAAACCTGCAGGCCAGGCCATTTTCTGTGCTTAAAGCTGTCAAGAGTCATATCTGAGAAGTCATAAATTCAGACTCTGGTGCAAGTGCCACTGCTGTCCAGTGCCATCTTAGGTACCCTGACGTAACCTGACTGATCTGATGCTTTTGCTTTAAAAGGCTGTGAAGAGAAGTGTCGTAGCTGCCAGCACAGTCAGGTATCCATGCACTAACTGACACTTGTACAATTTACTGCGAGCTGTCCGTCATGCACCCAAAAGCCAGTACAAAGTTACTTCATGCAAAAGAAGTACCCAAATATTTTAGAAGCCAGTCCCCAATATTTTATCACATTTTATGTTTCATGAACTTCAAATTATGTCCTCTTTATTCCTCTGAATCCTCATTAATATAACTCTCTCCATTACGTATGCAGTGAAATAGTTCCATTTAGTATCTTTTGATCAGCCAAGATTACTGGGCCCTGTGCTCCTGAAAGTACTTTGATACAATGGGCAGTTACCTCTAAAAAATTGATACTTCGATAGTTTTATGATGCTATTGAACTTTACACAATGAGCCAAGTGTTAATTTAATTCCTTCCATGGTTCTGTAGAAAGTAGCACCACATCCCTTAGTAGTTTATCACCTCCTATTTTTACCATTTCAATCTATGGTCTGTACTTTGTAGTTCTTTTTCCTCCTTGGATTCTGTTTTATGTGAGTGACTTATTTGACCATTCTCCATTTCCTTTTGAGTTTTATTGCCATTTTCTATTGTATTGATTGCTTCTGCTCTGCAGGTTTTTATCTCTGTCAGCAGATCTCTTTGGACTTACTGCACACTCTTTCTTTTGGGTTCCCTATATACACAGTGAACAAAAACAGTTCCAACTAAAATCACAATACCAGTCTGCTTGTTTCATCAATTCATCATGAAACACCTTCTCTTACAACAGACTGGTAACACATGTGAATAAGGTTATTGACCCAGTGTAAGCTCTTCTTAATAAGTCATTTTAAAGTTTATAAAGAAATATAAGGAAACATGCACAACTTCCCAGTTAACTATACCTCCTAAATTCCTCAAAATATTCTGACAACTTTATTTAAGTCTTATCTTGAAATAGGAAGTACAGTCCTTCTGCTATGTCATATATAATCTTTGTCTATACGTTCCTTAAGAAGTTCCACCAATTTTCTTCTTCCAGGAAAACCAGTCAGCAGCTCCACAAATTCCCACAAAGTCTGTGCAACTCAGGTGTAACCTCAACAGTTGCAGTAATAGAGAAGATTAAACTGCATTTTCAGTGATGTTAGGTGAACAACAGTAGGTCTCATAAATCAATGTACATTCTTATGAGCAGTTAGATTAGTTAACAAGCAAAGATTTTTTAAAACCTGTTATGGAAGACAGAAGACCAGCAGGCAGCATTAGGCATCAATATGGTGAAGTTCAGCCAAAGCTCACTGCTGTGCTGTGGTTTATAGACCTAGCTCAACTCTTCTGTATGCAATTACCTGCCCCATCCTACCCATGACCACTGGGTTGCTAGAATGGACTTTTGGCTGATTTCTGGGTTTGTAAGTTTGATCTACAGATCATCAACATACAGACTCAGAATTTGTTACTTAAATCCATCCCAAATACTTTGTTTATATGTCCAAAGTACAGAATGCTCATTTTAAAGACCTACGCAGTGCACACACAAATGAACAATAATGCCCCTGGAACACATTTGGTCTTCTAAGATCAGAGATCCCAAAGTAACTTCTCTTACTCCACCTTTCTCCAGACAATAAGCCCAAACCAAGTTGTACTATTAGGATTAAAAATAGGCTAAAATATGTACAAGCTATACAATCTAATTTGATAATATATTGAAATTAAGCTGGACATACCCATGAATATATAATGCACATGTAATATGTAAAAGATGTAATTTTAAAATTATTTTCTCTCCCTAGGAAATAAGAGTGTGCGGAGTCAAATGCAAGCAGGTCTTTAAGAAGGTACAGTGAGCCTACTGCTGACACAGAAGTGAAGAAGCAAGTAAACTTGCCACCAAGTCTCCAAGCACTAGTGATGAACATCATCAATGATGAGAGTTAATACAGATGAAGATTACATTAGAACTGTATAGTCAAAAATATTTTTAACAAATTATTTTAAAGAAATAATTGCAAATAAAACTCTATTAAAGTTACTAAACACTATAAATGGGTGCGCACCATAATTCTTGACCACACAAAAACTGAGACTGTTTGATAAAAAACAAGATACTGGAGTTAAAGCCATGTGAGCAGATATTTTACTTGCAGTGAAAAATCTCCTTTCTGTAGCTTTAACAAGGGGCCTTAATGTAATCTTGTTTTCAGGCTATGAATTGTTGTAGGGAAGTGAATGAGGACTGCAGTATGTGGCAGACCAGAAATCCTCATCTCTCTGAAGCCAGTGAGAATTTTACCACCAGCTCCAATGGAGCAGTACTTCAGTGAAAGTATTCCACCAAAATGGAAGATTTGATTTTTTAAATTAAGTAAAGTTATGGATCAATAATCTGGAAAAACAGCAATTACAGAATTATGGCCAAGAGGCAATTCTTTTCCAAATGCTTTAGCCAGTGACTGACTATTTGCTTTCTTCCTCTTTCTGATGAAGCTGACAGTAAGGTTATTGCTAGTAACTATGTAATTGTACTCACATACAAAAGAGATAGCTAACGTTGCTTTGTACAATATCATTTTCAGATTTTATTAGTACCCATCATTGAGCTCATCTTCTCGTGCAGCATATAGAAAAGCACTGACCTACTACTTTATACTAAACATTCTTACAGGTTTAAGTAGTAAGATGTCCGTGAATTTAGGAGGCTCCTCTTCGAAAGGGCACTTCTGAGTCTTTTACTTCTCTTCACCTGTTTTTGACTTAGGATAGCAATAATCATTTAATGTGATCCTCAGCTGTTTTATTCGTGGTTTCTGTGATTATTCACCATCTCATCTACCCCTCCCATTACAGAAGAAAAACATGAAAAGCACTAAGTCAGGATGTAGGATCAGAACATGAAATGATTAAGGAGTATGACTTGCATAATACCAAAGAAGATTCAGAAGGATTCTACAACTATAAAGCAAATGCAGAGGATCAGGTAGAGAACTGAAACTCTTTATAGTAACATGATTTGCAGAGGAAATGGGATGCTCTCTTAACAGCAGGAGAATATTTTTTGAATACGTTGATTATGTAGTATCTAATATTGTAACCTGTGTAATGTATATATTTCATTTGGAAATTGTTGTGTTTTTTTCTGTTTAATTTGAACAAGTCAAAATATACACACTGATTTTACTGGGTGCAAATATGAGCATAAAATAAGTATTTTGGTACTTGAAGATTAAATAATTGATGTGAGAAAAAATCTAATCAGACCTGTACAAAATACATGTAAGCCTAAGAAAGGGCTGGTAAATTTTTATTTCATATATGTTAAATATTTTATATTCTTATTTTAGAAATCCAGGATTTCTTAATAGCTGCCAAAATGTTTTACACAGACAAAGGAATACAAATTAGATTGCATTATCTGAAAACGTAGTTTTAATATTAAGTAATAATATGGAATGTGTGGTATTAATTATGAAATACCTTTAATGTCATTAAAGAATTTAATCTTCAGATATATAAGATCTATACTGTAGTGACACAGCTGCAGTACAGCAACCTTTGTGATTTCCACGCACTTTGACTAAGATTACACCACACTGTTCTCCCAGTCTTTTCTGATTCTGTGGCTCAAGCCAGAAGCTGCTATCTCACTATTTAATAACCTTCACCATATTTTTCTTTCATAAAAATCTCAAGTCATTTTTGAGATCAATGCAAATATTTAGCAAACAGTTGTTTAAGAAATCTCTCTGTTCGCTTGAACCTGCTGCCTTCTGTTATCACGTAATGACTCCTAATTCTTGTACTGCAAGAGATACAAAATCACCATTCCCTGTTTCTGCCACAACCCTCAGATTTCTGTACCCCTAGTGTTATGGTGAGATAATTGCTCTAGCCGGATCAGAGTCACTACATTGATTCCAGAGTATAAATTTGAATGTTTTTATTCCTAGAAGTCTTTTTTAAAGCATCAGAAGACTCCCATTTCAATTCAAGCCACTCAGAAACACTCAACTGAAACACATGGGCTAACAGCATTTCTTCTAGTCTAATCCGTTCATAGAAACCACAACAGAAATAAGAGCTAAGATTGCAGTCTGCATTCATATAACTGTGAAAGATGGAAAATAATTGCTTTGAATGATCTGTGAAACATTTTTATTTTAAAATGAGCTGCCAGAATGGCAAATTCCATAGAACAAGGTGTGTTAGATTTCTAAAGAGTCTCTTATATGAGATGGAGCAGTAGAGAGTACCAATCCACTAGCATAGCATGAAAGGTGCATTCCAGGAGATACATCCACTTTCATCAATGCCTATCATTTAATTGACTCCAATATATTAAATTTTCTATGTGGATAGTAAAGCAAAAGAGTTCTGCAGCACAACATTGATAAAACTTTCCTAGCATGTATTGTCTTGTGTTGTTTCTTGGACAATATCACTTGTAATCACGTAAAGGATTCATGGCCATTCATCTTCTATTAGTAAAACACTTCCTCTTAGAATAGTACCTCTGTGCTGTTACTATTGGTACTTCAAGACAATTTTCAACCTCAAAGCAAATGTTTATTTAAGTAATTGACTCCTGTCTAGCAAAAAAGCACAGAAAAGGAGAATTCCTTCAGTATCCTGTGATTTATCAACAAAGCATGCACTCTTCTCTGTATTGATGCCAACAGCATCCACACTGGACGCTTGAGCAGCATAGCTTTTTAGTTCCTTCAACCAGTCTGCCTGAAGATCAAGTTTCTACTCCAAAGAATGAAATTCTCTTTCAAGAGTCATATTCTTATTATAGCAGGTAAAGAAAGAAAAAAGCATGTGGTTATTGAGTAACAGTAATTTACATAGCCAGAGAACATCTAGTTGTGCCAATTGGTACAACACTGTTCTAATGTTTAGCCAATTAAAAAGCCAATATTGTGATAAGAATGTTTCAAATTTAAAATAGTTTATTTGAATGTTCAGTTAATTGAGAGTTCAAGATTGTAACAGAAGCATGAGCAATTAGCTATGGGTGCACAATCACAGAGTAGATAACATTTAGAACTTGATTGTGCATGTGTAGAAATACATACAGCATGATATCGATACCAGTAGTAATCTTTAAAGATGTGTAGTTCTTAAAAATGCTTTTATCAGCATTGTGGAATCATATTAAAAGCTTTTATGCAACAGTTTCACTTCCTTTCTTTCCCCTCCCCTTTAGGCTACACAAAGCAGCATCACAGAAGTGCAGAGATAAAACATAAGAAAAGCAGAGGAGGTAATGCAAAATTGTAATGGAATTTAAACTGAAAGGTCCCTCTCTCTCTTGATGTTCCCAGCCATTTTTTAGTCAGTGTCCTTGCTATATAAAAATAGACACTTACAATGCTATGGAGTCACCATTTTCAGTTTTTAGGTTTAAAGCATTGCATATGGGATGAGCTGAAATTTCACATTCAGTCAAGTGCAACAAGACTTACAGCAGTTCATCACTTTCCTGCTTTAATTCTAAATCAGCATGATTCAATTTATCTTTTCTTACAGAGACACTGATGCTTACTATCCATAACCATTACAGCTTCTAACACTTCTCTCCAGCTGGACTTGTTAAAGAAGTTAACACATTTCAGTAGTACTTCTGTGAAATAACTGTGGTCTTTCACTCATCTTGTCAAGAAATATGCTGTCATTCTTGATGCTGACATTTCCAAGTTTATTTTTGGAAAGAGGGAGAACAGCACCTTTTATGTATTTTAGAGTAATGTAGCAAAGCCCTTACTCAAACACAGCAGCTCCTCCAGACACCAGTTTTCAGGTACGACAGCGTAGCTCACTGCAATGTAGTTAGTCCTCTCCACTGTCTCACTGACAGCAGTGCTCATTAGAAACAGCCGATCACTGGGGACAATCCTTAAAGGCCACTGCGTTAATCCTTGAAATCCCACCAGCTAGAAAGCCAGTCATCACTGGTCTTCTTTTCTGACACGTACGTTCAGGTAGCTCAGACCTAAACACAGAGACATACTCAGTTTCCGAGAGCTGCTTACAGATCACTCTCTGAAAGAATTCTGAAAGATTTACTCATGAGTTTTAGACTTCTTGTACCTAAGAAACAGCACAAAACACATAACAGATTTTCACAACACCGCAGCAGTGACACATTGTGCTAATTTTGTTAGGTTTCTTGAAACCAATCTCAGACATGGGGGCTGACTTAGGAGCTAGACAAATAAGGTCTGCAAGCTACATTTCACGCTGCCGTAAATGATGCAGGAGCAGATGACTCATTCCCTGACGAGCAAAATAGAAAATAAGCAGAATACCAGAGATCTTCAGCAAAAAAAATCTCCAAGTAGTACGGCTCCAGCTCTTTAATTGTCATCGTACAAAAGAAAAAAATCTTTCTCAGTTTTTGGGCAATGAAAAGCAAGGTGTCTCCATCCCAAAAACCTACAAGCAGGGTTATTTCACAGAATGTTTTTTTGCAACATACGTACAACGCTCTATAACATATTTTTCTCATACAGTGTCTGCCTCATGAACATTTGAAGCATCTCGTGACACAAAGTTCCATTTTTGTTTCCAGTTCCCAACATGATGTCTGATATTTTTGACAGTATTTCCAAAAGTATTTTGGTGACTAAAGCGACAGGTAGGCATTTAATCTGCTAAACATTGCTCAAAAACCCTGCCAGGTGCTAACTGTAGGTTGAAGTTAATGGGCAATAAATACCTAATTTGTTTGAACGTCACGTGGATAATTTAGGGCAGCCTTTTTCCCTCCTCAGCCATACAATGCTCTGAAAAATGCTCTCCCTCTGTAGCATGCTGCCATGCAGCACTTCCCACTGCAGTTTGTGTAACTTCAGGAACAGCTAAATGCCTTCTCAGTTACATATTCCCCCTATGTAAGTTAATGTGATTTAGCATAAAAACAAACATTTCATTTGGGGCTAACCACATTCCCTCATCAGACGTTACAGATCTGAAGGAATGACCAAATTGTGGAGAAGTGGAAGCAAATGAAAAGTTTGAAGTCAGTGAAAACAAATGACGTAGTTCTTCATCACAACAAAATAATCATCTACATTTCATCGTGCTTTAGAACAGTTTTCAGTAACAGAGCTGACCAAAGGTTCTCTACAGTTCTTCTCTTCGGAGAAGCATAATGGCTGAAGACCCTGGGCTGCTTGTATAACAAGGAGAGACTATAACTAAAAAAACAAGCTGCTACTAACAAGTGGCCTTTAGCAAGATTCCTTCAAACAGGCTGTCTCATAAGATGTTGCTCATCCGCTGCACAGCAACCCTCAGCCTTTTCCCTGCACTGGGGAAGACGCATGTAAGGCAACGAAAGGCCCACAGATGGAGCACATCCAC